CCAAGCCCCGCCCCTCCACCCGATGCGGCATTACCCATCATCTTCGCCTGCCGCGCGGCATCGATCGCCGCCTGCCAGCTCAGGGCTGCCCCCGGTGTGGGGATGTGCTCTGGAGCCAGACCAACCACGCCCACTCCATGGTTGACCCCGCCCCCTCCTCCACCATGGTCGCCATGGCTAGTGCCACCACTGTGCTCATTGGTCAGGCCAGGTGGAGGAGGTCGAGGAAGAGGGGGAGGGGGAGAGTAGTCGGAGCCTGGAATTGAGAAAGAGAGAAAAGACAGAGGAGATAGGAAGTTAGCTACATAAATTTATGGATTACTTATAGAAGGGATTTGCTTCAAAAAACTGTTTAGTTTGTTGGTTTGTTAGATTATTCTGAAGAGGCTGGATAAAGCACAAACTCATCAGTTATGGTGCCCTGTGCTTTATATTTTTGTTAGCTATCAAGTTCAAAAGAGCTAACCGCTTTAACTGAAAGTCTAAGGTCTTGGCAGTGTTGAATGCCATCTCATCTAGTCTCTATGTCTTCATCACAAGCCATCAAATGTAGTACTTCAACATCCATCTGAAAGACTTGATGGCACTAGTACCACTTGTGCATGGCTGGATCCCTGCAATCAAGAATTTAACAATGTCTACTTGGGGAGATTAAAAACAACTGAGTAGCAAACAGTTTTCTGGGTGTAGTTGTAGGGAGCTAACATGTTTATAATGATAGGTCTCCCAGCTTTAAAGATTAATACACACTGAAAAATCCAGAACGCATTTAGCCCTGAAAAGAATAAGACTGGAGACAACAAATGCTTGTATTGAAATAAAAGATAAAAAAGAAGAGAGAGACAGAATTACAATAATCTCTGTGAGATTACATAGTTTTACGCAAACAAATCGTGGGAATAAGACGGTGTAAAACGAAGACACCGGATTAACCATACTGTATGCTTAGCCAGATTAAAGACAGTTATAATATCCTCCCAGCCCTCCTTCTCTCTGACAACTCAACAAATGTTTCCACTGTGCATATAGATTATACGCTGAAATTTTATGCAAACAATTATTATTCACACAAAGCCGAGCGTGCAAGTGCACATGGAAATTTTCTACAGATAGAAGAAGTAACAGTGCTTTGCAGAGACAAGGGTATGTTTGTGAAAAAGTAGTCAGAGCTACTGATATCAAAGCAGAAAATGTTTGTTTTTAATGATTAAAAAGAAAAAGTAATTTCAAAATTGTTAAATTGTTTGAACGCAATAGATTTAGTAGATATACTATTTAATCATACAAACTGGAATATATATCATTATCTCGATGTTGCAGTGCCATATAGTAGATCACTAGATCTTTTTTATCACAACTAATGCATGGTGGAAATGAAAAGCTTAATCTTTGTAGATTTAGCAATGTCAAATTCATAAATCTCATAAAGTGCAATTCTTTTGGAAGAGGAAGAATCCAAAAGTTAAAGAACTTCTGTAAAGTTAATCCATCCTGTGCTGTTGCAACAGAGATAAGGAGCTAGAAAGACACAGGAAGGAGAAATGTGAGTGGGTTCAGAGGGAGGAGGAGGAGAAAAGTAGATTTATCCTACAATTACAGGGCATTCACAATGTCTGCTAAGATCCTGCTCCTCTCACTTCACTGCTACAGGTTTTTACAAATGCACTCACACTGGGCGATGGCCTGAGGGAACAATACATCAGATCCTGAGGACTATAGTGACTATAATACATGCACAGAGTGTATATACATCTATCGCCTAATCATCTGCAAGTGCTGCTTTCTTACTCAGTCACAGTAAAGTAAAAATTGGACAGCAATATCCCTGTGACTAGGGAAAATGGATGGTTGCCTGGTGATTGGACTAAATTTTTTTTTTTTGTATTCAGCGATTGAATGCAAGTAGTTG